ATAAAGGGGAGAGGATAACGGGCATCGCGATCGAGCACGCACACCGCATCCTTGGTCACCTCGGCGCCAAGAAGACGCTCGAGTACATACGCAAACACTACTGGTGGTCTTCGATGTCAAAAGACATCGAGAAATTCTGCACGTCCTGCGGGACGTGCCAGACGACCAAGAAAAGCAAACTCAGATATCCGGGACTGCTTCACCAGCTCCCGGTCCCTGAGAAACCTTGGGAGTCAATCGCCATGGATTTCGTCGGACCATTCCCGACGAGCCTGAGTTATAACTACCTCTGGGTAGTTCTGTGCCGACTAACGTGCCAGGTTCACCTAGTGCCTGTGACGACCCAGGTCAAGACTATTGAACTGGCGCATCTGTTCCTGCAACATGTCGTGCGCTTGCACGGCATGCCAACATCCATCGTGTCAGACCGTGACACGAAGTTTACGTCTCAATTTTGGACTGAGTTACACCGACTCATGGGTGTTAAACTCAAGTTAACTACCGCATTCCATCCTCAAGGGGATGGCCAAGCAGAACGAGCGATCCAGACGGTGGTCCAGATCCTTCGGTCATTCGTCCGACCCGATCAGCGAGATTGGGCCGTGCATATACCCATGGTAGAATTCGCATTGAACTCAAGTGCAAACAAATCAACGGGATTCGCCCCGTTTGAGTTGGTATACGGATACCTCCCACAAATGACCGTGTCTCTGCCGTCATCCGAATTGCCGGGGGTGAAATCCTTTGCCCAGCGGGCCCTGGACAACATCCAGGCCGCTCACGACGCTATTATTAAGAGTCGTGTAGAACAGGCTATCCAGGCGAACCGACATCGGCGCCCTGATTCCCCAAAACTGAAGAAAGGGGACTACGCATATCTTTCAACGAAAGATCTGAACCTCCCCAAGGGGAGGGCACATAAGTTGTTGCCAACTTATATTGGCCCCTACGAAATACTGGAGGTATTTGAGGACTCATCAAACTACGTCCTCAGGCTTCCCCCAGTGTTGACGCAAAGAAATATCTTTGCGAAGTTCCACGTCTCACGGCTCGCACCTCATGAGCCGAATGATTCTGTGCTGTTCCCTGGGCGCGCCGTAGAAGTGTTTTACGACTTTGGCGACGACCCAGAACGGGAATACCAGGTTAAGGAGATCGTCGACCATCGATGGGACGACGATAAGTCTTTATGGTTCCGTGTCCGATGGGGACTTGGTGACCTTACTTGGGAACCCTTGGCCAACGTAAACGATCTAATTGCGTTGGATGACTACCTAACAGTACAAGGGGTAGAGAACGTCGAGGAACTGAACCGTCAACGACGGGATCAGACGCCGGACAATAGATCCAGCGGACCATCACGACCACGGCGTGAACGTCGCCTACCGGTCCGATACCAGCGGATATCAATGCCTTATCACGGCCAACTATGGCGTTGAAGCCATGAGTTGCCTAAACTGGCAAGTCCGGGAATATCCGAATAATATCGGATAAATGCGACGAAAGCGGGATCAAATCCTGCTTCCTACCATCAAATTTGAAATCGCTCAAATGAACGCTACTGAATCCCCCCTCGCTGATTCCTCCCTCGACCTTTCCCCCATCAAGGAGGCCCTCGTAGACTCCAGTCCAAACTCCCCACCTGTAAGTCCCACCACGGATGCTGCCATGTCGTCAATGGACGACAACTCCACAGTCGCTCAGACTGTCACCCCTGGAACGCCCAGCATGGGCGTTTTAACCCCAAAACAGGACCATTTGGTCCTGCCCACTCGCGTAAGCGCGAGTGAGAAATACCCCCACCTGCCGCGTTCCACGCAGACAGGGCTCGATCAACTCGAAATGATTACAGAAGTCGTGTGGGCCCGTATCGAAAAGAAACTCGAGAAACGCAAAGAGACTACGTTCGAAGACGAACGTAGGAGTGATGAGCTCGATGAGCTCAGGAACAAGTATGAGATGCTGCAGAACGAGGCCGACGACCTGCGTTCTGAAAACGACCGTCTTCATCGACGGGTCGAATCCCTCCGAAAGGCCAACGACGAACTCAACGAGGACGTCTTTAGAGTCGCGCGCACGGCGAGGGGACGCCCTGCGTCTCCCAAACCCGCCCCGATCACATCTTCTGCTCCCTCGTCGTCACGGCCCACTGTTCCCCAAACCATCGTTATCCCCGGGGTTGGCCCGGTGGATCCTGCGTCGGCCAAGTCTGCGCCGTCGAAAAAAACCACCTCTTCCAAGAGATGGGCCCCCACGTCCGACGATGACGAGATGGAAGGCGAATGGGTCGTCGACCCTGATGCCCCATTCGAAGAATTCGTCGCGAACCGTCCACCCGGCTACCATTACTACGAGTACTACGACGCCAAACTCACTGAAGTGCATGGCGAACCCCTACCCCCACCGACATATTGTCGATCGGTGGCCCTTCCTACCCGCTTCTACGACATCGACCATGTCGATAGAATCGAATTCCCAGACGCGGCTGTGCTCGTCCGCGACAAAGAACCTAAGTGGTTCGAGTTGGTTCGTAACTACATACACACCGAAGAGGGTGTGAGGTTCTATGCTACAATGTACCATCTTGCCTGGTCGTTCAAGACGGGCAAGCCCTCGCAAGAGGACGTCGACACCTGTACCGATTGGTACAGGGTGGCTACAAACAACCGCGCCTCACGAATGCGTATGTCGCGCGACGACATTGAGACGGAGGCGAAAAGACTTCCCGACCAGTACCCCCCGGCTCGTATTGCACGGATGTACATCCTCACGTGTCGATGGATAAAACCAATGACTGACGACGCTCGTGAGCGTCGTAAAATTCAACGCCAGGAACGAGCACTTATGTACTCGAACCCTCCCCCAACATCGTACTCAAACCCGCCTATGATGTACGCGAGCCCACACCCTGTGGCGTATTCAAACGCCCCACCTCCGCCGCAATACCCCCCTCCGACGTATGCACACTCGTCGGTGTACGAATCCGCCCACGCACCACCAGTGCGAGGGCGTGCTCCCTCTTCTCATGGACGTGGCCATCCCGCGCACCATGTCCACTATTCGCACCGTCGTCAAGACGAGGATTCGTCCATGAACGACGCTGATGTCGAGACTCGTCACTACGACGACAACTATCTGAGTGACGATGTCGCTGTCGACGCGGCTAGGTCCACGACGACTCGTAGGACTACGTCGAATCGCCCATCCGGCTCTGGCCCGTCCGGGTCAGCGCCGCGTAAACGAATGAGGAACTGACCCCCCCTCATCCATACCTTCGTCAACGACAATGCCGTCGTTGATTACCCACTTTCGTCAACGACAAGGCCGTCGTTGATCAATAATCTCTTACCTTCGTCAACGACAATGCTGTCGTTGATTGTCTATTCTGTACCCTTCGTCCTTCGTCAACGCAATCGTCGTTGATTATTCATTTTCTCGTCGGCGACAACTCTGCCGTCGACGACCTACACTGTCAACATCGTCACGGTGGACGATGGTATTTAATAAACTCACAACGACGAGAAAGTCGTTCCATCGTCGACAACACTGTCGTCGAGATCTGGGTGCATATGTTCCAGGAGAAACTCTAAGTGGGCTTCGCCTACAAAATACTATTATAGCCTCCTGCAATGAGTGTGCCCCCGTTTGCATACATTCTTCGTATGTAGAACGTTTTTTTTATTTCTTTAAAAATGCTTGCTTTCCCCTTGTGTATATATGGCTAGTACCCTGTCTGCGATCTAGTATCGCAAGGGAGGAGGATGTGAGGCCCCGGCCCATGTCTATATTCCGCCCACAACATCAGTTGATGTTGTGTTGTGTAATAATTATGTCACGACGCTAATTTAGCGTCGCGGAAGCTTCTCTATTTATTTGTGCCGAGAATGTATAAGATTGTATATAAACCCTCGGGGTAGCTGTAAAAGGCAGATTAGCCTTTACTTCTACCCCGTCAATATACAGCCAAATCAAGCGTATACTTAGACGGATTACTGAGGCCTGAGGCGAACGGGGGAACGGAACATTACCGTCCCCAAACTAGTAAGACAACCTTTCATCCTCCCAGAATTTAAGATCAAACTTTTCAATGTTAGTCGTCATAATGAGAGAGTTAGTAGAAGGGAAAGATCAACGCTGAACTTTCAGACTAAGAGGCCATGGAACGTGGCATTTTATACCTGGTGAACTCGGAAGTGCCGTCGACAGTGCCGACATACAACAAATCATGGGATGCGCTGTGGTCATGTAACGGATGAAGCAGCCATGCTTCACATGAGCTACAAAACTATTGAGTGGCACACGTGAAACAGGGTAAAAATACCTTCAACGCTGGAAGAGACCCCAGCAGAAGACGGGCAGTAGGCAGTTGCCATATAGGTCATGTGTGCTAAAACAGCGGTGTATTCTAATTCTAATTTGACCCTGATTTTGCTCCCGATTTGGATCATCACGAGACCCACCCGTGACGTTTAGCAAATTTTGATCGGCCGTTTTTTTTGTCTCTTGCTGTAACTTAAGAGTGTAGGTATCGACTGACGAGGGACGCCCTTTACGTTGGGAACTTGACGAGCGCGCTAGTTTCCGCTTCGCACGCTGACCCATTCGCAGAGAAAATAAAAATATGAAACAAAAAGGAAGGCAAATCGCATGTTGTCTTCCTGTGGAGCGACGGGAGCCCAAGCGATAGACATATTATTAATAAACCAACTAGAAAACGGTCCTTCTGCGTGAAGTCAGTTGATCAATACGGGGCCACCGCGGGCCTGCAGTCCTCAGAGCTTCGCAGGTGATGAATGGGTTCGTCCGCGGTCTGTCCATTGCTTGTTGGATCGTATCGAGTATCTGTGCTTGGGCTCACACCTACTGCAAGAACGGGCGCTTATTGCGTAAGGACTTTCCTAATCAGTCGGCTTCAGGGCTGTGTGCTCATACCGCCCAAAGTCACTGACACCGTGTTGAACTCTGGAATCTTGCTCGATCTTCATCACAACCTATCCGACATGAAGCGCGCTAAAGAAATCAAGGGGAAAGCCAAGGGTAAATTCAGGGAGATATTCCCGAAGAAAGACACTTCATCGCAAAGTGGTCAAGCTTCAAGGGTGCCTTCTCCCTTGCCATCGCCGTCCAGCAACACCAGAGGAGATATGGAGGAATATACCAAAGGAAACGTCAAGGGCAGAATTAAGGGGAATACCGACTCTTCGAGGGTGCCTTCTTCCACACCCTTGTCGCCGTCGTCGGCCGACCCTGGCGACGACACCAGAGTCAACCCCAAGGGAGACAATGAGCGAACTCTCAAAGGAAACCTCGAGGACGATGTTAAGGGAAATACCAAGGGTGACAGTAAAGGCGCCACATGCGTTGGTACCATTTGGAATGGTGTTAAGAGCGTGCTGCGTATTGCGCAGGCGAGTCTGGACAGCGTTCCCGTTCCCGGCCTCAAAGGGGCGATCGGTGGCTTCCTTGAAATAGTTAACCAATTAGAGGTGTGCTCTGTCATCAGCGTTAGTGGGGACATCATGTTCAAACTCTTATAGAAAGTGGGAGCGAATACCGATGCGATTCGTCAGCTCCAGAAGAACATCGAATTCTTTAAAGATTCAATATCCGAGCCTCTCAAACGCTATAGCTCTAAGGATCCTATTCCTTCCGAGGTAGCTGAGGCGATCGATACTTTATCGACGTGTGTACACATCTCTGGTTGCCTATCGGCGTCGGGCTAAACTGACCGTTTCTTTCAGCCGGCTTAATGCAGCTATTGCACCATTGCAATTGTTCCCCGACCAGAACTCTGCGTCCCTATGGGTGAATCGCGACGAAATCGAAGGGGCTGTTCGTCTGGCTGGGGAGGAGATACGTAATGCTGTGATCGCCTTTCAAGTCGGTACTCTCCTAGTATACATAAATTATGATTATGCATTTGAAGCTAATTCCGTGGACGTAGGCTTCGCAAGCAGTCCAAGGCAATTTAAGAATGGAAACTATCCTTACACAGATTGAGGTACGGCGCAGTTTGCATCAGATCTCTCAAGCTCTTAGGCTGACCAATCTGTTAGCGACTTCCTGACCATCTTAAGGTAATTTCCGTTTGTGGCCATGGAAATCATCCTTTCTGACTGTTTCCGAGTACAAAAGCGCGACGAAAATTTGGAGGCAAAGCAGCTTGAGTCCTATCTCAACAAACTTCCCCATGTTCTCGGCGCTGGCTATGACACCAACCGCCCCGGTGCCCCATCTAACTGTTTCCCTGGAACACGGGCCCAAATTCTTGATCATATCAAGCGGTGGCTGAACCGACCGGTTAGCGATACAGGGAAACCAGTATTCTGGATTAATGGCCTAGCAGGGATCGGCAAGTCGACTATCGCGCGCACCATTGCGGAGTACGCCGAGGAGCACGGCCTTCTCGGTTCTAGCTTCTTCTTTGTCCGTCAGCATGCCGAATTGTCCAATGCGAAGTTCTTCCTTGGGACAATCGTGCGAAACTTTGCTAAGAAACTTCCTGCATTCGGTGCGGCCGTCACGGAGGCAATGAAGAAGGATGAGAATCTTCCCTATGCTTCACTTTCCACCCAATGCTCCTCACTCCTCTTTGCACCCCTGCGAGGCCTCAGCCTTTCTGAGCCTCTTGTCCTCGTAATTGACGCCCTGGATGAGTGTAAGCGAGATGGTGTGGATGGAGTGAAAGAATTACTCGGCTGCCTTGTTCCTGGCTGCGCTGACATCCCTGGTCTCCGCATACTCATGACAAGCAGGCCAGAATCCCACCTCATTGGGGATCTGAACCGAGCGGTGAATGTGGACAAGATTGTGATTCATGAAGTTGATAAGGATATTGTTTCGCAGGACATCGAGTCATATCTTCAGCATGAACTCAAATCCATTTGTGAACGGTTCAGAGATGCTGTTCAGGAACCATGGCCAACAACTGTTATGGTTTTGGCCCTTGCAGGCAGAGCTGGCCGCCTCTTCATCTGGGCTGTTACTGCCATCAAATTCATAGGTGATGATGATGTTCAGCATCCAATGTATCAACTGGACACCCTCTTGAAAGATGGCTTTGACAGAGCTGATGTGGGTCCTTATGCTGAACTTGACAGGTTGTATGAAACGGTTTTGTCTGCTTGCATTGCTAAAATTCCACCTGATATCCGGGACCAGTTCTACCATATTCTACATACCATTGTTCTGCTCAACAATCCGTTACCCCTAAAAGCACTTGGCACTTTCGCAATGGTTTCTAATCCCACATCAATGCTCACCCGCATCCAATCCATCATACCGCTTCCTCCACAGCCAGAGGGCAGAGTTGAGGTCTACCATCCTTCCTTCCCTGATTTTATCCTACAACGGTGCAAGGACTCTCAGCTCAAAGTTGATGTGATGAAGCATGAGAGGTGGATGGCTTTCCGCTGCCTGAACCTTCTCATTGCTGGGCTTGTTCCTGCTGTAGATGAAATTGTGCCACGTTACTCACTCAATGTGGGTGTGAAGGATCTAGGTGTGAAGCTCACTTCACTGGTGGGGGAAGAAGTGCAATATGCATGCCGCTTTTGGACCTTCCATCTAGGAAAGCTTCAGGTTGTGAATGATGAAGTTAGAGAGGCACTGGAGAAGTTCACTGGTCTAGGGAGGAGTGGTGGGAAGGGCCTTTTGCTACGGTGGATTGGGGTGATGGGAATGATTGGTTGTGTGGGTGATGCTGCCAGAGATTTACGCCACATTCTTCCCTGGATGGTTTGTTATCATACTCTTTGCCTGATCATAATACTAATTTAAATTAGAGGGCTATGACACACCTGGCACACATTGCCACTGTATTGCATGAAGCCTTCCGGATGATTTTGACCAATGCACAAACCATTGAAGCTAGTTCAGCACACATCAGCCAGTCTGTCTTGCCAACCCTTCCCACCAACAGCCAGCTGTTAGAGGGTTTTCAACAAGTCCCTAGTCCAAGTGTAGCTGTTCATGTTGGGCATAGGGTAGAATGGCCTTCCCATCTTGCCACTCTTATTGGTCACACTAGGCCAGTGGGTTCTGTGGCCTTCTCCCTAGATGGATCCCTCCTGGCATCAGCATCAGATGATTGTACCATCAGGCTGTGGGACCCTCACAGTGGGAGCCACCTCAAGACACTTGAGGGCCATTCTGATTTGGTGAGATCTGTGGCCTTCTCCCCAGATGGATTGCTCCTGGCATCAGCATCAGATGATTGTACCATCAGGCTGTGGGACCCTCACAGTGGGAGCCACCTCAAGACACTTGAGGGCCATTCTCATTGGGTGACATCTGTGGCCTTCTCCCCAGATGGATTGCTCCTGGCATCAGCATCGGATGATTGTACCATCAGGCTGTGGGACCCTCACAGTGGGAGCCACCTCAAGACACTTGAGGGCCATTCTGATTGGGTGAGATCTGTGGCCTTCTCCCCAGATGGATTGCTCCTGGCATCAGCATCAGATGATTGTACCATCAGGCTGTGGGACCCTCACAGTGGGAGCCACCTCAAGACACTTGAGGGCCATTCTGATTGGGTGAGATCTGTGGCCTTCTCCCCAGATGGATTGCTCCTGGCATCAGCATCAGTTGATCGTACCATCAGGCTGTGGGACCCTCACAGTGGGAGCCACCTCAAGACACTTGAGGGCCATTCTGATTCAGTGAGATCTGTAGCCTTCTCCCCAGATGGATTGCTCCTGGCATCAGCATCAGATGATCGTACCATCAGGCTGTGGGACCCTCACAGTGGGAGCCACCTCAAGACACTTGAGGGCCATTCTCATTGGGTGGGATCTGTGGCCTTCTCCCCAGATGGATTTCTCCTGGCATCAGCATCAGATGATCGTACCATCAGGCTGTGGGACCCTCACAGTGGGAGCCACCTCAAGACACTTGAGGGCCATTCTGATTTGGTGACATCTGTGGCCTTCTCCCCAGATGGATTGCTCCTGGCATCAGCATCAGTTGATCATACCATCAGGCTGTGGGACCCTCACAGTGGGAGCCACCTCAAGACACTTGAGGGCCATTCTCATTGGGTGAGATCTGTGGCCTTCTCCCCAGATGGATTGCTCCTGGCATCAGCATCAGTTGATCATACCATCAGGCTGTGGGACCCTCACAGTGGGAGCCACCTCAAGACACTTGAGGGCCATTCTGGTTTGGTGACATCTGTGGCCTTCTCCCCAGATGGATTGCTCCTGGAATCAGCATCAGTTGATCATACCATCAAGCTGTGGGACCCTCACAGTGGGAGCCACCTCAAGACACTGGGCCATTCTTGTGGGGATTCTGGCCTGGGCCCTTTTGTGCTCCAAAATGGGGTTTCAAAGTCTGCTGTAGTTGTTAAGGATGGACAATGGCTTTGTGTTGATTCATTATATATTTTCTCTCTACCTCCTAATTATCAACCATCTACCTGGGCTTCACTGGGATCTTTGGTGGCTTTTGGATCTAAAACTGGTCAAGTCTTCAGTGTTGATATTTCATCTGATCTTGATAAGCTTGGCTGCATGTAATCTGACATGTGTTTGTTTTGTTGTTCTAACTTGGAAACCTAGCATGCAGTGGCCTTCATGTGTGGGTATTTCAGAATAATGATCTGTGCTGTAATCAGGCTACTGGGGGGAACAAGACAAAAAAGGAGTGTCAGGAAACACATGTTAGTCTGCTTTTGGAGGTGGGAGGTGTCAGATGCTGGAAGCAGGCAGTTGTCAGGGCACACCTTCTGGGTGGCAGCATTGTTGATGTAGCAACTTGATGTGGCACAGTGACAAGGATGGGCCACTAGTGTCAGGGCAATAGCCCCGAACCCCGAGTCATATGTAAATTAGATACATATAGTCACATGGGTAAGCGGGAACCTCCAGGTAACTGCTTACACACCACCATAAAATACACACTCTTGTATCACTTATGGCCTTGTGTGCTGAGCTATCCAAAGACCTCACACTTTTTTAAGTGTATGAGGTGTGTTTTACAACACAACCCACAACAACTACATAATCTTAACATCTGACTCGGAAGCGCCTATGGCACCTAAACATGCCCGCAAGGGCAAAGTCGCATCTGCAGCGACACTAAAAAGAAACGAGCAGTTTATTAAGAAACCACAATCTCCCATGATGGGAGATTCAAAACAAAAGCTGTCATCAGACGACGACGAGGATCAACATGATCCGGCATTAGCAACCACCTCAGGGCTGGTCCCTGAAGGTTTTAGAAACTTGTGTGGAGTAAGTGTGGGGCCAAATACCCCCAGAACTCCATGACATACCAATCTAACCCAAGCTGGGGAAGATCCCTCACCTCCTCACGAGGTAATCAACTTGTGCAAAAAACGCGTAAGCGCCGAACGATCAGCCCAAAAAGCTGATTGGATAGAGTCACAGGAAACTCCAGGGCCCCACTATCCCCTGGAGTCCCCCCTCACGTCCCCAAGTCAAGCCCCAAAGGCAGACAAAGGGAAACAAAGGGAAGAGCCCCCGCATCAGCTATCCGAAAAACTACTGGACTTGTTCCTGGTTCTGTCTGAATGGAGGATGGAAAGTGAAGACCAACTTCTTCTCAGGCTAAAAGCCCAAGAAGGCACGAAGATACGCCCTGAGAGCAGGATCTCCCAGAGCGCGGAAGCTCCAAAAGAACTTCCACTGTTTACACTCCCACACACCATGCCAGACAAGGCAAGGTCGCCAACCTCGGAGGAGGTCTCCGAGATAATGAAGAGGAGGCGAACTGAAATGAGGGAGTTCGCTGAGGAAGCCTTACATAAAAGTAAGGAAAAACCAGTGAACAGACCCCTCTATGAAAGGGAAGCACCCTCTGCAATGGCCTCGCCTAAACAAAGCGAGCATTGAGTGTTCACTCCAAGAACCCATTCTGGAACCCCCAGAA